CTAGAATCCCCCAGTGAGGGGCTGGGGGCGTGGCTCAGTGGTAGAGCTCCTGTCTATTTTGCATAAGACCCCAGGGTTCAATCCTTAGATTTGCAAAAAGAACAAAATAAATTAAGCATTTGATGAGAAGCAGGAAGATATAGGCTAAGAAGATGGGTCGTACTGCTCCTTGGGAATCAGTATTTCCCAGAGTACACCCCACCTGGCTGCTCCTAGAGTGCTTCTGGGTAACCAGTCAGACTTAGGCTCCACCCTCTGTCCTCTGACAGCACCTCAGTTTCGAGCCACTCAAGTTTCAGTACAGAGGCCCTACGACTTAAGAGAAACTTGAATCACAGAGACTGTTAATGGTTTGAAAATGAAATGTCTCCCACTCAGCCCTGGTGAGAGGTTGTGGCATGTGTAGGAGGTGGGATTTTACCAGAGGAAACATCTCCCTGGGAGCATGCTTTGAAGGGTATAACCTGGCCCTACTTCCAGCCCTCTATAGCTCAGTAGCCCAGACCAATTTTGAACTAGAGTCAATTCTCCTGCCTCAGACTCCTGTGATCATAGGTATAGAGATAAGATGATAACACAGGGCCCCGTTTTAGTGTTCTTGGTGGTGTTGTTTTGGTTTGGTTTTGATTTTTCAAGTTTCCTTTTTTTTTTTTTTTTTTTTTTTTTTCAAAAACACCAGTCTTTATTGGCCTCGGCTACTTGAGGGGGATGAACCGGGAGGAGTGGGTGGCACCAATACCGGGCCGGCCGTGCTTCACGGGCTTGTAGGTGATGGAGAACTCGCCCAGGTAGTGTCCGATCATCTCTGGTTTGATCTCCACCTGGTTGAAGGTCTTGCCATTGTACACGCCCACCATGCTGCTGAGCATCTCAGGCAGAATGATCATGTCCCTCAGGTGAGTCTTCACCACCTCCCGCTTCTCCATGGGCGGTGCCTCCTTCTTGGCTTTTCTCAAGCGCTTGGGCAGGGAGTGCTGCTTCCGCCGCAGGCCGCGGTTCAGGCGCCGTCTCTGGCGGGCACTGTACAACTGCATCAGCTGCTCATAGGACATGTCCAGCAGCTGGTCGAGGTCCACGCCACGATAGGTGAACTTGCGGAAGGTCTGCTTCTTCTTCTGCTCCACTTCAGCCATCTTGGCGGGTGCTCGGAAAAGGATTTTTCATGTTTCAAGGCAGGGTTTCTCTTCTCTCTGTAGGCTGTCCTGGAACTCACTCTGTAGACCAGGCTGGCCTCAGACTCAGAGATGCACTTATCTCTGCCTCCCAACTGCTGGGATTAAAAGCATGTGCTTCCATCACCTTAATTTTTAAAATAAGATTTATTTTTTATTGGTATGAATGTCTTGACTGCATGTACCTATGTGTCACATGTATCTGTGTGTCACATGTATCTGTGTGTCACATGTACCTGTGTGTCACATCATGTCTGGTGCCCGCAGAGTCAGGAGAGGGCATTGGGTCCCCTGGAATTGCAGACAGTTGTGAACCAGCACCTGGGTGCTAGGAATTGAACCTGGATCCTCTGTAAGAGCAGCAAGTGCTCCTAACTGCTGAACCATCTCTCCAGCCCCTCTTCGTATTTTGGAGGTAAAAATCTCACCCTAAACTGGAATTTCCTATGCAGGCCAAGATGGCTTCAACCTGGGAGAAATGAGATTTCAGGTCTATGCCATCATGCCCGGTTTTTTGTTTATTTTCTTGTTGTGGTTTTATAGCTTTTGATTATATTTGGCATGCTGGAGGTGGAACCCAAAGTCACGACCCCAGCCTGTCACTGGGGGATTCTAGGCAGGGGCTCTACCACTGAGCCACGCCCCC